TGCTTTGCGTCATAATGCTCCGGAGGTAGACTACTTAAAGAGACATTACAGTGAAAACTCCTCTGTCGGAGTAATATAATTTGTGTTTGCTTAAAAGCTGTGTTCGTTTTAAAGTGACAAACTTTGTAATCTTGAGCTAAACTGAAGTTATCATTCAAAATGTCTAGCATTTCTAGTGCGTCATCGTTTACAAGGAAACTTAAAGCTGCAGAAGAAGCAGAAGCTGCAAAAGTTGCATTACGTTACCATGATTTGGAACAGCAACATCAAATTGATTTAGAACGTAAACGTGTTGAATTTGAGGAAATGAAGGGTGCTTTACAAAAATTAGACATTATGAAAAAATTAGATATTGCAGAAGCCAAATTAAAAGCAATAGAAAAGGTAGAAACTCAAGACATGAACTCTTATAATGTTATAGACCGAATTTCAGTGCCAGATGAATCTCTAGATCATAGTACAAAAGTGAACACTTATTTGAATTCAACTCTTCCGCCTGTTCTTACACCACAAACTGTGATTTCTCCAGAAGTTAGAAGAAATGATTATACGTCATCTCCAGGCCAAGCTGAGAGGAATTTGGATATGAATTACATTCCTGAACCTTCGTTAGAATCTAGACCCACAGTTGGAACAAACACTAACTACACCAGTTCATCTTTTCCGCCGAATAGAAACACTGCTAGTCTTGATGTTTCTAAAAACTCAGTAACATTAGACACTGGTGATTTATGTAAGTTGATAGTGGAACAAGCAAACTTAAATAGACTTCCCCCTCCAGAACCTACAGTATTTTCAGGAACTGCATTAGAATATCCTGCATGGAAAGCATCATTCCAAACTTTGATTGAAAACAAAAACATTTTGCCAGAACAGAGAATGTATTATTTACAGAAATATTTAAGTGGTCCTGCCAAGGCTTGTGTTCAAAACTTTTTCCTCTTTAACACTGAAGGTGCCTATAATGATGCTAAAGCCTTACTTGAGGAGCGTTATGGTAATCAATTTACAATAGCATGTAGTCTGCGACAAAAACTGAAAGACACTTCTAAAATTAGTAATCGAGATAGCAAAGGACTTAGAAATTATGCTGATCTTTTAAGACAATGTGAATCAGCTATGAGTTCAATGAATTCATTANACATTCTAAATGATAGTTTAGAAATAGAGGAACTTTTGGAAAAACTACCAGATTGGCTTTTTAATCGTTGGTCCAGAATTTCTTATGATTCTCAGA